TATCAGCATTAATTAATTATATATAAGTATTAGTTACTTATTCCCCAAATCATTTTACAAGATCTAATACTAAACATCAATCCATATGAATATCATGGTAAAATATTCACATCAATTATTACTTCTTAAGAGATATACAAAGTCATTAGTGGAAAAGGAATATATTTTGAATGAACATCAATTACAATATATCATCCGCAAATTAAACAATTTATATGATTGACTTTCCTTTTTAATCAATCTAAAAAAGAATGACACATTTTCATATTTAGTAACAATTTAACTTTTAAATGTTCATTTTACCCTTAAAGAAATGATTAGTCATACAAACATCTATGACTTATTTTAGACCACAAATTTCAAAAGTCTTCTTTTCCTTTCTTAAACTCTATATCAAGTCAAACTACCTCACATAAATTAGGACGGATATAGTACTTCTAAATTGGTCCCGAAACGGAGACTGGTGCATAATTCAAAACCAAAAATGCTCTCATTTTATTTGAAATTTTTGAAGTTGAAGTTGAGTTTAAAGGCATAATACATAAATGTGTCATTTAATTTGGATCTACTTGTCATCTATGTCCTCCAACTTTGGATGTGCACAAGTAGGCAGTTAAACTATTCAAAAATCGAACAAATAGACACACACGTCAAATGTGGCATTCTACGTGGCAATTCGCTTCCTACATGGCATCCTATGTGTATATCCCACATCGGATACATGTGCCTACTTGTTCAACTTTATACAAGTTTAAGTGTCTACTTGTGCATACCCAAAGTTGAAGGGCATAGATGAAAGGTAGAGCCAAATTAAAGGGCACATTTATATATTATGCCGAGTTTTTTAAAATTTCTATTCATTTAACATTTTTTAAGTTTAGCTTATCACATAGGTAAGTAAAAATATATTTGATCTCTTTTTTAAATACCGTATAGTTGTAAAAAATCGAAAAACCAAAAAAAACCGAAAGAATCGACTAAAATCGAAACCGAAAAAACCGACTTTAGATGGTTTGATTTGGTTTTTAGATTTATAAACCGACATAATTGGTTCAGGTTTTTTTTAATGAAAAATCAAACCAAACCGACCTATGTACACCCCTAGTTGGGGAAGTTCAGGTCAGCCTCCAAAAAGTGAGTAATAAATTAAAATCAAATACTAGTAAATAAAAATGATTTAATCGAACTATTCTTTAACCCTGAGGGGTAGCTCAGCTGGTAAAGGCCTGGGACAAAGTCCTTCAGGTCGCCGGTTCGAGCCCCAGCAGGGCCACTGGAGGCATTACAAACCGGCCGCGTCTCCAGGGCCCCGTGGAACTAACCGTGGTGGACCCGCCTTGAAACAGCGGGACCCGGTGGGTACAGCTAGTCGGGTTCGCAAAGCGACGCCCGGAAACCACGGTAAAAAAAAAAAAAAAAAAAAAAATCGAACTATTCTTTCGATTAATATTTTCTTAAGAGATGTGTAAAGAAAAACATGAAAAATAGAATAGATCGAAAAAAGTATTATGCAATCAAGTACCTATGGCTTTTGTTGTTCTAAACTCATTCTTATAAGATCTCTATCCTCTAATATTATGCAATGCAAGTGCCTATGGCTTCTGTTGTTCTAAACTCATTCTTATAAGATCTCTATCCTCTAATAATGACTAATGTTATTCAATTTTGATATGATCAAAGTTAGACTTTCCAAAATCATTTCATTATCTTGATATTTCTTCAATATTGATATGATTTAGTTTTTTTTATTTAAGAAAATTAAAATATGTCATGTATAAAAGTTACAAATAGAAGTTAGAACATGATATCATGCATATTTTTATGAGACTTTGATGAAAAAATTCTAGATATTTTTATTGTTAAAAAGGAGGTGAAATTAAAAAAAAAACATGAAATACGGTAATAATAGAGATCTATCATATTAAAGTGTAAAATAATGTGAAGCAAAGACAAAATACTTAAATCACTCTAGTATAAAAAAATAATTAAATTGCATGAGCAAAAAGATATCAATCGAAATGACACCCAAAAACCAAAATTATTAAGATTAAATATTCAATAAGAGAAATTCAAATCATATAAGAGGAAAAGTATCTAATAACTTATAGTATTTTAGTTACTATTTGGGATATTAAAATTAATTTAACTTCAATAAAAATAACATAATAAATTTCAAAGTTTGGACTAAGTCGCATTGCAAGTACTGTCAAAAGTGGCTGCTTGACTATTTATATTAGGGTAATGCTAAATAGCTAAAAAAATTGGGCAAAATTTGGTCAGAAATTTAAAAAGTTTATAATATCCTTTTTATTTTAAAATAAATTGATCTTTTTTCCATTTTTTAATTAAAAGGTATTAAAGTGAAAAGGATAAAAATGTTCAAAAAGGTAAAATAACATAACGTGAAATATGTTATTTTACCATTCTGACCAAATTTTCCGGCAAAAAGGATTTTTTCTTTATATTAGATAGTGCATTAGATAACAACTTATCTTTATTATTACAACTTTTTTATTATTCCGCCAATTATCCCAAGATAATACATATGCATATATATACATCTACTACTTACATATATGATCATAGTTTTGAAGAAACCACTCTACATAAAAAGAAGTTGTCTACTATGCAAAAATGGAGTCTATTACAATCTATTTCTTTGCTTCTCTACTTTTCATACTTGTTATTCTTAAAATAAGAAGTAGCCATGCTGCTTCTTCTTCAAAGCTTCCTCCAGGACCATGGAAATTACCTATTATTGGAAACTTACATCAATTAGCAGCTGGTGGCCCTTTAGTCCACAAAGTCCTTAGTGACCTTTCTAAAAAACATGGACCAATAATGCACATGCAACTTGGACATGTCTCTACTATACTTGTTTCCACACCTGAAACTGCAAAACAAGTGATGAAAACTCAAGACATAGTCTTTGCATCAAGGTTTCAGCCTCTTGCTGCTAAGATTATTTCTTATGATTCCGCCAACATAGGATTCGCTCCATATGGTGATTACTGGAGACAGATGCGTAAAATATGTGTACTTGATCTTCTAAGCACCAAGCGCGTTCAGTCCTTCCGGTCTCTTAGAGAAGAAGAATTCTCAGGTCATAAGTTGATTCAAAATTTTAAATTAATGATTTCAAATTATGCTTATATAACTATAGAAAACAAGCAAACTTTTGACGAAACTGTAAATTCACTTGTTTTTTTGTATTTCCTCTTCTTTTTTTTTAAATGAAATAGAGAAAGGAGATTACAAGGTGAGGAATCGAACCTTAAGGTAAAAGTTCAAGTAGTTAACCAACTGAGCTACTAAGATCCCTCCATTCGCTCTGTTTTAACTGAAGTGTCTAACATTCTTTTTTAGTCTGTTTCAAAAATAATATGGAGCATCTCTTTCTATGTTTTGTAATTCTCTAATCCAACACTCTACGGGTTCACTTGAACTTACTCTTGACATTCTAGATCCGCCTCCGTCTCAGGTCTTGCTAGATTCTTGGCTAGCCATGCTGGATCCCCTGTTAATTTGACTCAATTGCTACATTCTACTATGTTGGCTTTCACTTCTAGGGCAGCAGTTGGGAAAAAGTTCAAAAACCAAGAGAGGTTTATATCTATATTATGTGAACTTCTTAAAGTTGGGACTGGCTTTAATATTGCTGATTTTTACCCTTCAATCAAGTGGCTTCAACATATAACTGGTCTTAGGTCAAAATTGGAGAAGCTTCATCATGAAGTAGATAGGCTACTTGATGAGATTATAGATGATCATATTGTTGTTAACAACAACACCACAAGTATGCATGAGGACCTGGTGGATGTCCTTTTAAGAGTACAAAATGACGGAAAATATGAAATAACTCGAAAAAATATTAAAGCAGTGATCTTGGTTAGTTCACTCTACTCTGATACTCTTCTCATTTTAGTCAATTCCAAAAAGAATGACATACTTTTATATGTAGAAGCTATATGAACTTCTCAATTTATGACATGTTGTACACATTAACAGGACATGTTTGCAGCGGGAACAGATTCTTCAGCAACAACTGTTGATTGGACAATGGCAGAAATGCTCAAGAACCCAAGTGTCTTAGAGAAAGCACAAGAAGAAGTCAGGAGAGTTTTTGGTGAAAAAGGTTATGTGGATGAATCAAACTTTGATCAATTGAAATACTTAAAAGCAGTCATCAAAGAGACACTCAGGTTGCATCCACCTGGCCCTTTGTTACTCCCAAGGATGAGTAGAGAAAAATGTAAGATTGATGGTTATGAGATACAAGAAAAAACTCAAGTGTTGGTGAATGCTTGGGCAATTGGAAGAGACTCGAGATATTGGGAGGATGCAGAGTGCTTTAAAGCAGAGAGATTTCTTGATAATTCAATTGATTTCAATGGAAATAATTTTGAGTACATACCATTTGGTGCAGGAAGAAGGATGTGTCCTGGCATGTCATTTGGTCTGGCAAATGTAGAGCATCCATTGGCTCTTTTTCTATACCATTTTGATTGGAAGCTACCCAATGGGATGAAACATGAAGAATTGGATATGAGTGAGGTGTATCTTGGTGTGTCAGTGAAAAGAGAACTTGATATGCATGTAATTCCTATTGTCACCAATCCAGTGTAACAATAATAAAAGCATCTATATATCTTCGCACTTTCTAATAAGCTTAATCATTGGTGATATTGTACCATTAGTTGGCCAATAATGAAACTGTTGATTATTCGTACCGTCGTAACTCAAGCTGGATAACTTTCAGATAGTTCTAAGGAAAATCTTTCCGTAATTTCATATTTTGTGTCTACAATGGCGATTAGATCGACAATCAGGTCTTCTAATTGCGCACGACCAAAATATCTTACCATTGGACACAGTACGCTCCGGTGTGTACAGAGGCTCAAACTGAGATGAATCAACACAGGGAGCAATTGCTGGGATAGTTCTTACCACTGCGTACACCTCAACTACAAACTCAATTTCTACTCTGTAAAGATTGAAGCTCATGACACTAGGTACAATGTATTCATAAATTTCACAAACGATGATGATTTCAATCTAGTATGGTACAAGAGAGTTGTTGAAATTGAAGGGATGAAAATGTGGCTTCAGAAACGTTCACCAGACTATAAGCCTGAAGAAGACATTTCTATTGCTCTAGTTTGGATAACTTAGCCCATCAAGTAGTTCGAAAACTTACTAGACAAGCAAGTACGATTTCCCATACAAGGAACAATTTACCTATGATACACACTCATACTCCTAAATCAGAGAGAATTCCTCAAAACTATCAGAAATGAATGTTAGCTATCAAAAAAACTTGGTAAAGATAATAGATGATGCGTCTAATGATGCCCTACCAAACATCTAATGCCTGAAGTATCTCACATTGGTGAAAACAAGCGAGACTCCATACTTGTTACAGCACTCCACTGTATCCTTGTCCCTTATGCTCCCTCCTGGTTCTGCAATAACGCTCACTCCGCTTTGACACGCCTCTTCAACAGCATCATTCCATGCTGATTTAATTCAAAAAAAAAAATATTGTTATGAGAAAAAAAAAATCAATCAGAAACATGCGTCTAAGGCACATTAGAAGATAACAATTTTCTTCTTTATGGTATATTTTCTTAAAATTTGCATTTGCACTTTCGACTAGTCATAGTTTGTCGAAACCTATTGTCCCACTTTGTTTTAAAGTTAGACTTGCTCTACCAGTACATGTACGTACCAAATGGGAAGAAAGCATCACTTGCCAAAGCAGCTCCTTTTACTTCATCTCCAGCTTTCCTCATAGCAATCCTCAAACTCTCTAGACAATTTGGTTGTCCACTCCCCATTCCTAACATACAATTGTTCTGCAATAAAAAAATTATATTTAGAAAACAATGAAAGAAATATCATTTATTGGATATATCAGCCAAAAAGTACCTTTGCAATTACTATGGCATTGCTCTTGACATGCTTGACACATAACCAAGTAAACTGTGCATCATTAAGCTCATTTTCTTGTGGAGTTTTGTCAGACATGGCATTGAATTGGATATCTTCCGGGGTCAAATCATCTGAGTCCTGAGCTAACCAACCACCACCAATTTGTCTAAGAGAAAGTTTTCCCTTGTTGTTTTTACTTGCCTCAAGGATTCTCAAAGTCTTAGACTTCCCACGGAGAACCTCAAGACCCTTCGCTGTGTACTTTGGTGCGACTACTATTTCATAAAACATCCTAGTCTCACCATCTGTAGGGCTTCTAAATTCTCGAATATCCTTTGCAAGAGCCTGCAAAGAACCAAAACAGATTAGTTAAAAGAGTTGTCAACCTTGATGTGACACCTAAACTTAAAGTTCGATTTTGTATTTCTCCAACACTAGAAGGTGTGGTATAGCACATAAAAAAAAAATTCAACATAAAAGTAGTACCAAATACAACGCATCATCACCCATTTAGGTTTCTAGAAAGAAACAAAAAGAGCACAATTGTAAGATCATAATCAACAAAATTATCAAAATATGCATCTAAATAGGTCCATTGAGTAATTTTACCTCATCAACTTCGACATTGAAGGCTACTATACCACCAAATGCACTAACTGGATCTGCTTTCACAGCTAGCCTATATGCTTCAATGATATCATTCCGTGATGCAACTCCACAAGGATTTGTATGCTTCACAACAACACATGTTGGTTTATTAAAATCACAGACACAATTCCAAGCTGCATCGGCATCCAGATAGTTGTTATATGACATCTCCTACATCAAGAAGAAGGCAGAGTCATTAGCCTTGAAACTTCAACTAGAAGAATCCATTCATGTGATGTTAAATTTAGAGCAATGAAATATGCAGTGTGCAAATGGACACTAAACAGAATTTGAGAACATGCCAAGTTATGAACATTAAAATGTAAACATTAGAATTCTAACCTTGCCATGGTGTTGGATAACAGTTGCAATTCCACCAGCATTAACCTCAGACAGAGACTTGTCAGCATAAACTGCAGCCTTCTGATGAGGATTTTCACCATATCGAAGTTGGTCTTTTAGAGAGAGTGGCACTGTCAGGCTGGGAGGGAAGTTATCTACCAACAGAGACCAAAGTCATCAATCAGCATAATAGCAGATGAAAAGGCCTGCACTCTCTCACACACACTCAGTTTTAACATCATATTCAACAGAATATTTCATCTCAAAGCACAATGAGTCTTTGAAGGCTACTGTTCATCAAAATTAAAATAAATTTGGAACCTTATTTTTCCATGGAAAAACCATCGACATTTATATTTATTTCAAATGAAGAGGCCGAAGATGATCGTTTTAATGTTTCCAAGTTCTTTATTGAACCTCTTTGTAGTTGATACCTTCACAGTTCACAACTAAGAAAAGGAAAAATGGCTAAAGAGAGCAAATCTAAGAAAACGAAAATTATAGGTACTTCATCTACCAGCGGCAAAGTCCAAAAATTTGATGAAAATCAAATTGAGGAAGAACAACTTCCTGAGCATCAAACTTGTTTTTGTATTCATTCTAGTTTTCATGTTGTATTTTGTATAATGAAACTTGTATTTCTTTATCAATTTGTATTTCTTTAAGAACCATATTTGTATCTATTTATTTCTTTCACAGTGTAATTGTACTTTTTTCTTCAGAATCTTGTATCCTTTCTTAAATTGTATTCATTGCAATATGTATGATATGTGTACTTGTATTCATTAAGGTTTTCATGTTTGGGTTTGTATAATGACATTTGTATTTCTTTATTAGTTTGTATTCATTCCAATAGGTATGTCAAATGAATTTGTACTTATTTAAGAAGCATATGTATACCCATATACTTATGTAAACTCGTGTTCATTGAGAAAAGATACAACATTGGTTTGTATATTTTTCAAAAACATATATTCTTATTTGTATTCCAACAAAATTTGTATTACAATCATCAAAACATACAAATTTGTAATCATAATAACAATCAAAAATTGTATTTCATGACAAAAGATGTATTTCTTATTTGTTATGTATTCCAAAAATATATTATATTCAATGTCTAATTTATAGATGATCAACTAAATATGCATGATTCCAAATTATTTTATATTCCAAGCATCCAACATACAAAAAAAACAAAACCATTCAATCATTCACTGTTTGTATCCTAATCAAATTACATATTAAAAATGTATTTTGAACTTAATTGTATTGTCACGCCCCGAGCCTACACCCTGGGCGTCGCCGACACTCGAGAACTATTGTTGGTCCCCAAGTGAACCCTCATCTTGGCTGACTACTAGCGGAAAACTAACTCAAGCAAAAATAAGCTTAAAACAGAATTTGTTCTCAAAATAAAACTCAACTAGTGGGGTAGAAAAGACCAAAACACCCCTCCTTAAAACAGATGAATTTCCTTAACTAGACAAGCTACACTCAAATGGGCATATCTCCTTCATCCGAACTCAGATTTTAGCAAACTAACAGCTTTAGAAAGAGGACTCAACGACCTTTGATTTGATACCTCATGGGCCACCTAACTCATCCTATGTTGAAAGTTATGGCCGTCTGAAGTTGACTCAAAAACTCACAATTGAAGAGTAACTTGTACCAATCTCAATTTAGCTCTTTCTAATTTAGCTATTTCTAAATTTAGTTCTTTCTAAGACCGATGTGTTACAGAATTAATGGAAGAATTACTTGTTTGGCGTGAGGACGAACAAGCTATTTACATGGTCATTTGAAGTTGACCCAAAATTAAAAACTGACCGAAGTTCGAGGTGTTACAAGTGGAATGCCATGTGGCAAGGTTTTTCAAATAAAAGAGAGAATGTATTATTACACACATCATTGAGGTGTATTTCTCAAACTAATAATTAATAGTTTAGGTATGAAACTCACACTCCCAATAGTTTAGGTATAACTCAAAAGAGAGATAATTTAGGTATATTTTTTATACTATGGTATAAATAATATAAATTGGCATTCTTGTTTTATTTTATCTCTTCCATGTGGGTGATGTTTAATGAGTTCTGCTTAATTTGAATTGCAATGAAATGGAAAAGTTGACTTTGAATACAATATTTGATCGACTCAATTGTCCCCGTGTTAATTGATTTCAAAGTGCCTACATAATTTGTGGATCACATAATTTATTATTGTTGGCTCGAAGTTACGTAATCAGTGACAAATATTTTGGAATTCATGATTTTGAGTTATTGAATTATAAGTCTAAGTATATATTAAATATTTTTTAAAAAGAATATAAAATTTGAATTTTGGTTCACATGAATTTTGCACACTAGCTTCACCGTAATGTATATACCACCAAGATATAAAATGTATAGATAAACTAAAATCATGCTCATTTTAAACCCACTAAGTTGCACTCCCCTCCATTTTATTTTAATTGATGTTGTTTGACTCGATATAAAGTTTTAAATTTTTTTTTATAATTTGTAGTTTAAAATAATTATAGACAATTTTATGATTATAAATTATTTCATTAAAGATAAAAATCAAAATGTTAAAGTTAAATTACTTGAGTACATAGAAATGTGATATTTTTTTATGACTAACTAAAAAAAAAGTATATAAATGTATTCTTTAACTTGATCTCAGTTAGCATCTCTCCAACTTTAAGTGTGTATAAGTAGACACATATATTCTTGACATAATACATAAATATTACCCTTAACTTGGTTTCAAATTATAACTTTGATAGTGCACAAAGAGACACTTTAACTATCCAAAATTTAAACAAAAAAACACTCGAATATTTCAGACAAAACGCGTGATATACAAATGCTCGACGTGGATAAGTGATCCACTCAATTGCTGCCAACTAACTAAAATAAATACACCTAGATTTTAAAAATAATAAAATAAATTATAATATAGAATAAGGTGAAAGTGAAAACAAATTCATTTTTAGGAAAAAAATTTACTACGCTCCTCCTCTTTCTTCTAAAAAAAAACCCTAATCTAAATTTGTAAAATTCATGCCCCTTATATTCAAATCAAAGAAAAAATTGTTCAAGATAAGTGCAGAAATTTTATATACTTGAACGATTAGTCATTACCTATTCTTCTTCCTTAATTTAGTCAAGGTTCAATACTTTACAAATAAGAATTTCATATTGTTGGTCAGATGTTCAAGCCAATATGGGAATCACTAGAGGAAACTAACGTTTTTGTTGCAAAATTATTTCAGAGCAGCCCATAGATATATGAAGACATGAAAATAAATTAACTTTTTCTTCTTTTCTTTAGTTTGAATTGTCTTTGTGCTTTAGTTGTCAAATACTTAATGAGAAAAAAGGATGCTTTGTGTTTTATGATTGTCATGGACTCATAGTGAGTAGCAAATTACAACTACGGATTTTCGGAGCCTAAACAATAAACATAGAGTGTTAAAAATTATTAAGTAAAATGGTGCACTTAAACTGTTTGATAAAATGTCTAAATGAACTTTTCAAAGATTTTTGTCAAGTTTGAGTAGCAATCTGATACCTAATCAAAATGTAAGGAGTCCCTTAAGTGTGGATCGGAGTGGTTGATTGAGAGTCTTTGAACTTAGATTGCATTCGATTTTTACAAGTGTATATTCACCCCATCTTGCTTACAGTAGATATAGAGAAATATAAAAAAAATTCATTATAGCTTTTTTTTCACAATAACGAAAAATAATTAAATGTCACTTGCAATTTGTGCATTTTGCAATGAACAACAAATAATGCCAAAAAAGAAAAGAGGGAAAAATGTTGAAAAAAATAGAAAGAAAATAAAGTGAAATATATATATATATATAAGGATTGATAAAGGATTTAATAGTCTTTTCAATATTTTTTATTACTGTTGGGCCCCTCGAATTTTACCTCTGACGCGCCTAATTTGGGTGTATTTCACATTTTACCAGGTAGGATTCGAGTGTTTTTTTATTTAAGTTTTGGATAGTTAAAATACCTACTATTGCAGTGACAAAATTAAGTGTCAAAGTTATAATTTCAAGCCAAGTTAAAGGTCCAATTTATGTATTATGCCTATATTCTTTGTGGCATAATACATATTGAACTCCACATAGGACACGAATTGCTCGTTTTGAATGTTACAATTGTTTACAAAACACCTATATATCTACATCAAGCTCGAAAGGAAAGATGAAAGCATCAAGGCTTGTATCTTTTGCTGAAAAGATTATTAAGTAATTGTCAAGATTGAGGCAATTGTTGCATTACCAGAAAAAGACGTGACTCAATTTGAGAGTAACAAAGAGCTTCTCGAATTTGCTTCTCCAATTACTAATCTTAATTATATAAGCAATTAACGAGTCGCTTTTACGATGAGAATAAGGAACAATAAGAAATACGTATTAATTTTTATTACAATAGAATCATCTTCATGTGGGTCAACTTCAACCTCATTGCTGCTTTCATGGATCCCATTGTGATTCCCTTTTCAGTTGATACCTTCACACCAATATATATCATATTTGACAAAAAGAAAGAAAAAAAGTCAAATATATGGATTAATATCACATATAGTTGCTGAACTTTTGTAATGTCATGACTCATGATTACATAAATCCCATCAGTTTAGGAGCTAATTACTTAGATACACTTTAGTTTGCAATATTACGGATCTTAAATATATTGAACTGTCAATTATTGTGACTTATAGTATCTTTTACGTAGTTTATAAATATATAAATCTCATTTTTAAAAATTTGAAGATTTCATGAGCAAATTCTCGATCAAACTTAAACTGTTGAAACCACAGCATATTACCATAAATAGAAACAGTTGAAGTGTTGTCCGCGCTAATTTACAAGTGTGCTGCAACAGCAGCTCGAGCAAACTCGTTTAAACCATCCATGTTGGTACTAGCTGTGAATTTACGTCCATTATTGGATCCACCACTACCAACACGGGCAACAGGGGATATTGTTAGTATGATACACGTTGCAACGATGAGTGAGGATGAAATGGAGTGGTTCGCGAGCTAAAGATGGACTGAAGAAGGAGAGCAAGCTAGTGTCGATTTGTTCCGAGTGGACATCGATCGATTGAATTGTACAAAGGTACAAGTGTTTGCAATTACCCATTGAACTATTTGGATTAAATAAGGGAGTTACTCATGACTTGTATTTCTATCTCCAAGATGTATATTTGTTATTTTGCTTAGGTGATGAATTGTGGAGTACTCTATTTGTTCTTAATTCATGAGCCTTAGCTTATTGGATATGGAGTGTTAACTAGTAAGTATTATGTTATCTTCAATTAGAAGTGAGCCTTATTGGATATGGAGTTACCTATCATATCGTTCGTACACTTGATGGAACAAAACAACACAGATATTGCATTCATACTTGTAGGTTGTAACATAAAAGATTAACACTTGCGATGAGAGTTACAAATAATAAGAATATTTGATATGAATATAATTAAGAATCGTATTCAAGTGGTTCAAAGAGAACTTTGGATATGTGAAAGTTGAGTAGTTCCTCTGTGACATATGCAATATAGTAAAAACTCTTTGCAACTGCCAAAAATGTATTCTTCATATCTTTATTTATTCCACACGACGAATTATCCAACACTAATTTTACAACTTCTTTCATCTCTAATTCAACCTCATTGTGAATTTCCTTGCAGTTGATACCGCCAGACACCTACGTATATAGTATGTATCATATTTGGGGAAAAAAGAAAATAATAATGATATATATATGTGGATTAATATCACATATAGTCACAGCTAAATGTCATTCACGATACATAAAATATTCCGTCAAAGATACTTTCACTTTCTCATTTTAACAGCAAATTTAAGGCTTGAAAAATAAAACTGATGTAATAAAACGTGTAAATTTTTAATTACCTTTCGATTTTGAATCTTGAAACATACTTTATTGGTAACGTTAGATATATTCTTGTAGTCTATACTGGAAATTATTTCATCATCTACCATATGTCCTCCACAAAGATTAATTGTGCGTACTAGCAGCTCTGCTTCTATTTGGCATGCTGTTTTCTCCTCTCTTACACATATCAACCACGTTCCCCACTTCATATAACAAAAATAAAAACAGTAAATATATAAATTAATTTTTGCTGGATAAGTGAAAAGCAAAACAAAAAAAAGAATAATTAATAATTAGCTATGAACTTATATATATATATATATATTATTTTATTTTATATTATATAGAAGAGTGAAGACGACCGGACGACCAATGGCAATTTCGAAAATCTAATATAATTGAAGGGCAGAATAGTAATTGCCAGGGTATTGTCAATTTTTGTTTTAAATTAAATTTAAAAAAAAATAGGAATATAGTAGAAAGAGAAGGCCACGTGTACTACTATCATCAAAAGCAAAAAAAAAAAAAATCACAAGTGGCCGTACAATCCAAACATGATGGGACCCATTTTTAATTCAATTTATATTACATTAACACCTTTACTTTTTGCACTAAAATAAATATAAAAAGAAACAAACATGATTTAAAATGTATTAAATGAAAATAAAAATATTTTAATTAGGGAGAATAAAAATAAAAATTAATAAATAAAATTAAACTAAGACTCTCACTAAATTTTAAAATAAATAGTTTTAAAATTTTGTGAATCAAGCATTGAAGAGAAATAATAAGTATTCTTCGTGTTCAATTTACGTACATTGATGAATAGAATATTCTGATAGTAAAATAATCTAAATTTTAAGATTAAGCAGATTAAAATTTAATTAATTATAGTAGATTGTTTACTTTATTTACTTAATATTGCTATTCTTTTTTCTTAAATAAGAAGTTAAGAATCGAAACACATGAAAATCAATACATTAATTAGAAAAGTAAATAAATATAAGTAGATTAATATTTAGAAAGAGATGACAAAAATAGCAAATGCCGAGGAGTAAAAGAAATTAATGCAAAGTTAAAACATGGACCCCATTTTTTACTCACTTCAAAAGTCTATGCATTCAAGACCACACATTTTTTTTAAAAAAATAATAATAATTAATTTGAGTTCATATTTATTTTTGAATGTACTTACTACTTTTAATGAGATTTTTTTTCATATTCAAAATTTAAATTTGAGGCCTTTTAATCATTATCTTTCTTAATCTGGTTCGGTCATGAAAATATAGTTTTTATTTTATTAAAAAATGTATAATTAAAATCGTCTTTGGTTAAATTTTATATAAAAATATAAATATATTTTTCTAAAATGCACAATACATAAATATGTCATTTAATTTGGTTTCATTTGACATCAGTGTCCTTCAATTTTGGATGTGCATAGTAGACACAAAAATTTGTATAGAAATGAACAAGTAGACACATGTGTCCTACTTGACGTCCTACGCGGCAATATAATTCATGTCCTATGCGACATTCTATGTGGCGTCTTACGTGAATTATGTCTCGTAGGACATGTTTGTCTACTTGTTCAACTTTATATTTCTATCTATTTTTATTATATATTTTATTATATAGAAGAGTGAAGATGACCAGGACAACCAGGGGCACTTTTGTTATTTTACCAAAATTATCAGCTTAAAACAATTGTACTTTCTGTAGCAAAATTATTGAATTTCCCAAATACCCAACCAAATTGCTATTATTATGATAGCCATATATACTTTCTATCATGAAAAGAATAAAAAAATATCATAAGTAGCCGTACAATCTAAAAATGGTGGGACCCATTTATTAAATCAATTTATATTTCATTAACACTTTTACTTTTTGCACTAAAATAAATATAAAAAGAAACAAACATGATTTAAAATGTATTCAAAAATAAAAATATTTTAATTAGGGAGCATAAAAATAAAAATTAATAAATAAAATGGATAGATAAATTAAATGAAATTAAAGTAAACTAAGAAACTAACTAAATTTTTAAATAAATAGTTTTAAAATTTTGCGAATCAAATATTAAAGAGAAATAATTATTATTTTTCGTGTTCAATTTACGTACATTAATGAAATATAGTAAATGTCTTTTAATCTTATGATCTTAAATATGCTATGTGGAGTTGGAACTAAGAAAAGAAAAGGGACATTACTTTTTAATAGATTATAAAGAAAAATTCGACAGATTAATTGAAATGAATAAGATAGATTTCAAGATGATAATACATAATGATTCATGATTTTTATATAAGATATAATCCAATCTAACAGACAAATTAACTCTGAATCCTACTAAATTTGTGTCTTATAGTAATAAATAAATAAATTGAATATTATACTTCAGATGTTTTACAACTTAAAAAATGAATCTACCCATCGCTAATATCAATTATACTTTAAAATATTATTGGGTTAATTTAATTTAATATTTTTTATTCAGTATTCGATATTTATATTGGAGTTGCCCATTCGGATATAGAGCTCTCTATAAAAAAAAAAATTCATATCCAAAACTCAAAATCAAGATATTTAATTAAGGAAGGAGAAACACCATTCAATGCACTATATTCTTTGATGGTTATTTTTTTATATTTTTTAATACTAAATTTTTTACCAGGATCAATATTAATTAATTTTGATCAGAATGCTATAGAAATACCTTTTAATATATTTATCAAATAGCGATTAATAATTGATTATATTGGGCCCGTATCACGGGCCTTAAGAATCTAGTATATATATATATATATATATAATTTGTGGATAAATAAAATTAGCAATAATATTTTTAGTGAAAAAAATTGCTTGTTATTATTTATTTTCCTTTTTTTATAGTGATGTGATAAGCTATTCAATATATACGTACAACAGAGTGTAGTTGGAGATGGATATCTTTGCCTAGGGTCTCATAAGTTTCTTCAGAAAGTTGGTGCAAAAACTTAAGAAGATTATTCAGAAGCATCTGTCTTGTTTCATTACTGCAACAAAAGAAAAAAAGAAACATAAATTACATTACATTATATTTACTAGAAACAAAGGTTTTTCCCACTGTAAATTAGTGGAACGTGATTTTTCCATCGAACCAGCAGCTCATTGAAAAAATACATAATGAAAAACAGATTATCACTAGAATATGAACGAAAAAATTAAGAAACATGATTACTAGCTTCTAAACATAACTATATATGATTGTATACTTTGTTATACAATTATAAATTTAGTATTTACTAATAAAAATAAATAAATAAATAAATAAATATACACCAACTACAATTACAAACCTGTTTTTAGTACAAGTGGTAGGTTGTTCTTGAGTGAAGTATGATGTAATCATCTTACACATAATAAGAGATTTAGCCCATGCAAGTCTTTCCCTTGACCTCTCTACTTCAAATATACTTGTTGCACCTAAGAAATAATCTTCCAATAACTCTTTTTTGCTTATTCCAAAGTGTTGAAAATTGCATTGTGTAAACCACCTAAAATAACAATAAAAAGTATATTTAATAAAGGTAACTTGAACTAATTTGTCCTTTTTCTTCAAAAAAATTAAACTAAAGAATTAAACATACTCTTGAATATTGGTCCATTCAAATTGATGTTGACTTTGGCATTTGTTGTAATCTAATTTTGCGGCCTCAAGATATACATTATTACTTATGTCTGGCATTCTACATCAAAACAATTCCAATGATTAAGACTAAGAAAAAAATTAAATTTAGTTTTGAGGACGTACACATTTTTAATTAGTTAATTATGTTATCAACGCGCTAAAAATACCTATTTAACGTCTTGCCAATCCAAATGTCATTTGCTCCACCATATTGTTCAAGGTATGATCGAGCTTCCACCCTAGGTAGGCTAGCATACCATGGAACTTCCAATGCATATCGTATCTATAACCAAATTAAATATGATATAGAAAACGATGTTAACTTCCATACACTGATAGTATTTTAATTTTTTTTTACATATACTATCAAATCACTCGAAAGATAACTATATATATGTACCTCTCCAGGGATATCGTTGGCTATTAGCCATTTGTCTAAAGATTGGTTATTTGACAAACAATGTTGCAAGAAATTATGGGTAAATTTGTTTGCATCTTCAAGAATCTTCTCTCCTGGGAATGAAACTTGAGAGCATCTATAGAGATTGTACATAGCTGTTGGGGACTTGTCTGTTTCACCCATTAGGCAAAAAAAATTATCACCATCTTTGAATTTGTAGAGCACATCTGAGGCATATTAAACAATAAAATATAGATTAAATACAACTATGAAATAGTTAAAACTTTCTTAATAAGGACTATGATTGGCAAATCACTCAAGTTGAATTTGCGCGGATCGATCAAAATAGATTAAATTAATAAATAAGTTATCATTCCAAAAGTTAATTGTGTTGAGAAGAGCTAAAAAAATAATGGATCATAGTCTAATCCGTCCAACTCTTACTAGTTATAATTTGATTAAATACCAAATTACAAGATAAATAAAATAATATTTTTTCTTAGCTTATAGCTAAATTATTAACATATCAAACAAAAAACAAGTTTTCATTTAAATATCTTGACAAGACTTTTATGGATCACTTTGGAGTACATACTTAAGCTTAAATCAACCAAAATCTTAAATGACGTGAATTTGGGTGAGTCAAGATGAAGTATTTAATAAATAGACAGGTCATTAACCCCCTAAAAATTGGGTGAATTGAGCAAGTTGGGGTTAAATTCATCACTCGTTAATTAATTAAGGAGTTTATTTATTTATTATTGACTTGCCTGGTTTAACATCATATCCATATAACCTTAGAAGCCTAATAGCCATGCATGTATCATCAATGTCACAAAAGTTTGAATTCCTTCCACTAAAAATTCCAATATCTTGATTCCAGTATCTGTAATTTTAAAAAAATGAATCAATATACATATGCAATAATATACATTAAATTGTTACTTCAATTCAATTCAATACAATACCTTTGTACATGATCTAACATGTCCTTGAATTCTTCCTCAAAATAATAAGAAATTCCAAGGCGTTGTAATCGATCAATTGCCCATAATCGCGCTTGCATATCTACTGGGTAACTATGTGGAGCTATAGATATAGATACATGTTATTAGAATATACATGTTTATTGTCAGTGTATAGACGTTAAACAAAATAGTATACTTAGCTTCAATTAAATAATATGACATTCCATATTAATTTACCTCCTCCATTATATTTTTTAACAACCCTTTGAAGATATCTCAAACAATTTGGATCATTTGTTTCCATAAAAGCAAAGGCAGTTGAAGCAATAGATGTTAAGAATGAACCATCTTGCATTTGAAGCTTCAAAAGTCTTTTCCAATCTAAGTCACAAAATCCTTCTAGTGAAAACAATAATGTTGTTGGAATTGTATGCACAACATCCTTAGGGATTCTGTAAAGCAAAACAAAATGTATTATTATTAATAATTTCATTTCTTAACCATTGCTATTAAATGTTGTTAATTTAATTAATTACCTTTTTAATTTCATGTCTCTCCTTGCACATATATTCTTCAAGACAGGAGCATTATATGGAATATCAATGTCTAAATGTTGAGCTTTGTCCAAGAGAGCAGGAAACACAATTTCAAATCCACATGTCATGTTTTCAACATTCCCTCTCTCTAGTTTGCATATGTTTTCCTTTATAAACAATACACCTAATGTTTAACAAAAGAAAGTCCCACCATGAGATTACAAACGCAACAGATTCTCATTGAAATACTGAGAATAATCACTGAATATTTTTTCTTCTTATAGATTCAATCAAAATATTTGTGGAAAAGTCACTATATTCTCTTTGTTCCAATTTATATGAGTTACTTTTCTTTTTAGTCGGTAACAAAAAAAATCATGACACATTTCAAACATTTAGTTACAATTTAATTTTAAAATGTCTACCATATTCCTTAATGAAATGATTTTATAGCTATACAAATATCTATGATTTATTTTAGAACACAGGTTTCAAAAATCTTTCTTTCTTAAATTTCGTGTTAAATTCAAAATAATTCATATAAATTGAGACGCAAGAACTTCTTCCGTCCCATATTAGTTGATCATCTTACTAAAAATAGTCAGATGGAAGGGAGAATATGTATGTTTACCTTTGTTTCTCTTCTCAGGTGTTGTATTCCATGTTGTTAAAGCAACAACACATGCCAATGTGTTCAATAGGCGGTCGTAAATGCAAAAGACAAATTGCTCTCCCCATGAACCATCACTGTGTTGATTTTCTATTATCCATTTAAGACAAGATGGAAATTGTGTTCTATCATTTCCATTTATATCTTTAATTAGGGCAACCCATGCTGTGTCATAGGGTGATACACTTGACCTTCCATCTTTCATGTCATTCAACATATCTTTGATCTTCTCTACCAACTTCCTTGTCTTCTTCGTTCGAGTTACCTATAGTATAGACCAAAATTGTTATTACAGGTACGTACGTAGAGGTAGATTTAAAAATTTAAATATGTGGGTTCTGAATTCTAAAATAGGGCAAGCATTAAATTCAAGAAAGAATTTTCTTGTAACCTTAATGTTTTCCCCATCTAGCAGGTATTTTGTATCCTCAGTTTGCAATTCACCTGCGAAAATATATTTATATAGGTCGTAATGTATGATATATTTTCTGGCTGAAATATAGTCCGCTATTAACATTATTTAGATGGATTCACGATTTGAACCTTACGAGTTCAAGTATGAAATCAACCACAAAAATCTATCATTTGTACTTATATATTTAAATTTTATTCATATACAAAGTTGAATCAAATTAAAATTATTGAGTGTTCAAATATCATTAATAACTACGTACATCAACGTCTGTCCATTAATTTGTCAAACGGAATTATGCTATACAATATTTTGTATAGCAAAACTCATCAATCGAAGGCACCGTTCTTTGACAGAAAATATTACTATTTACATATGATTAAAATTATTTTTTATGTATATATAGTAAATGTCGAACTCCTTTCGATTAATTCGTATAATATTTACTTCTTCAAATTTTGAATTCCCTTATTAAAAATCCTAGTTCCGTCACTACAATCATACCTAAGGAATTTCCAGCATTACGCACATGCTTACATAATATTTTCTTGTAATTAACAACTGAGCCTTCAGTTTGGAACTGGCTATTTCCTGAAAAAATCAAAATGTAATAATTAATCATAATTGACCTTAGAAGAAAACAAAAGAAAAAAATATTAGATGGGAGTGCATAAAATATTGGTCTCTTTTTAAAATAAATTTACTCATTCTTAAAATATAAGATGTGTTTTTTACCAAATTGTCCTAAATTAAAATGATGTCTATCTAATATATATTTTTTCGTTTATGTTAAAAAATAAATAAATAAGAACAAAATTGAAAGAAAAAAACACCACCTTGATTATATAACAAATCATTTATTTTAAACTACATATAAAAATCAAAACACTATTATTATTATGGATCTATACGATTAATTAGTACAGTGAAGATACTTATAAATCACTAGGTAGCCACATAATACTCGTCTCAATTTGAGTTAGCTTAAGACTCACATTTATCTCTTTCTTAATCAACAACCAAGCACATTTCCAATAAGTCTCTCTTTAGAAAAACTGAGGGTTGACTTGACGCCAAACAAAAAAAAATACTCTGCAATTTATGAAAAACAAATCATTTTAAAATATACTAGGTATAAGAGTGTGTGTCAGTACGGATTCAATATAGGACTTTTACGTAATTTTTAAACATATAACATACTTAAAAGAAAAGTGTAAAACAAAAAAATAAAAAATAAAAAATATTGAATTACTCTCTATTAAAAGCAAATATATCAACAAACAACCGACCGCTAATTAGTGAGATATGCATGTAAACAACTAGGAAGAAAATTAAACTAACTTGTTATAACACGTTTCAAAAATAAAGCCTTGCCCTTGACTGCGAGAAGATGGCAAGGAAAATTGAGGGCATTCATTTTTTCTTTTGTGGAGTTATTAAATTAGAGAAAAATGGAACTATATAAGCTTGTACTAAAAGGAGGCTACTTATTTATAGCTACTCAACAATTTTATTTTATTTTCTCTTTTTTGGTGCTTTCAACCAATAAATTATTTGGAGTTGACTATTAATACACCCTACATTTGTGGTCATCCTTCACAGTTAGGAAGTTCAGGCAAGCCTCCAAAAAGTGAGTAATAAATTAAAATCAAATACTAGTAAATAAAAATGATTTAATTGAACTATTTTTTTGATTAATATTTTGTAAATAAAAACATGACAAATTGAATAGATCGAAAAAAGTATTATGCAATTAAGTACCTATGGCTTATGTTGTTCTAAACGCATTCTTCTAAGATCTCTATCCTCTAATATTATGCAATCAAGTACCTATGGCTTCTGCTGTTCTAAACTCATTCTTATAAGATTTTTATCCTCTAATAATGACTAACGTTATTTTTCTATTTCGATTTGCAAGGGTGTCAATGGTACAGTTCAGATGATTATTTTGTAAAGAAATTATCATACTAATATTTTATTATTCAATTTTGATATGATCAAAGTTAGACTTTTCAAAATTATTTCATTATCTTGATATTTCTTCAATATTGATATGATTTAATTTTTTTTATTCAAGAAAATCAAAATACGTCACGTATAAAAGTTACAAATAGAAGTTAGAACATGATATCATGCATATTTTTATGAGACTTTGACGAAAAAATCTAAATATTTTACTCTTTAAAAAGAGGTGAATTTAAAAAACCGAAACCGAAAAAACTGACTTTATGTGGTTTGATTTGGTTTTTAGATTTAATAAACCGACATAATTGGTTCAGGGTTTTTTTAATGAAAAACCAAACCAAACCGACCTATGTACACCCCTAGTTAGGAAGTTCAGGCTAGCCTCCAAAAAGTGAGTAATAAATTAAAATCAAATACTACTAAATAAAAATGATTTAATCGAACTATTCTTTCTATTAATATTTTCTTAAGAGATGTGTAAAGAAAAACATGACAAATAGAATAGATCGAAAAAAGTATTATGCAATCAAGTACCTAGGGCTTTTGTTGTTCTAAACTCATTCTTGTAAGATCTCTATCCTCTAATATTATGCAATGCAAGTACCTATGGCTTATGTTGTTCTAAACTCATTCTTATAAGATCTCTATCCTCTAATAATGACTAACGTTATTCAATTTTGATATGATCAAAGTTAGACTTTCCAAAATCATTTCATTATCTAGATATTTCTTCAATATTGATATGATTTAGTTTTTTTTTATTTAAGAAAATTAAAATATGTCATGTATAAAAGTTACAAATAGAAGTTAGAACATGATATCATGCATATTTTTATGAGACTTGATGAAAAAATTCTAGATATTTTTACAGTTAAACAAGAGGTGAATTTTAAAAAAAATATATGAAATACGGTAATAATAGAGATCTATCATATTAAAGTGTAAAATAATGTGAAGCAAAGACAAAATACTTAAATCACTCTAGTAGGAAAAATAATTAAATTGCATAAGCAAAAAGATATCAATCGAAATGACACTCAAAAACCGAAAGTATTAAAATTAAATATTCAATAAGAGAAATTCAAATCATATAATAGGAAAAGTATCAAATATCTTATAGTTTTTTAGTTAGTATTTGGGATATTAAAATTAATTTAACTTCAATAAAAATAACATAATAAATTTCAAAGTTTGGACTAAGTCTCATTGCAAGTACGGTCAAAAGTGGCTGCTCGACTATTTATATTAGGGTAATGTTAAACGGCTAGAATTTGATCAGAAATTTAAAAAGTCTATAATTTTTTTTTAATTTTAAAATAAATTAATCTTTTTTTATTTTTTAATTAAAAGATATTAAAGTTAAAAGGATTAAAATGTTCAAAAAGATAAAATAACATAATATGAAATATGTTATTTTACCATTCTTGTCAAATTCTAGCCAAATTTTCTGGCGAAAAGAATTTTTCCTTTATATTAGATAGTGCGTTAGATAACAACTTATCTTTATTATTACAACTTTTTTATTATTCCGCCAATTATCCTAAGACAATACATAAACATATATATACAACACAGAATGGTCAACATAGTAATGTGTGGTTCACACTTATAGTAGAAAATTTGGCTTTTTTTTTTCTCCATTTTAATTTATTAGTTTATTTTTAATTTTTTTATATATTTAAAAATTACATAAAAAATCCTATAAATATGATAATTGACATTTAAAATATTTTTTAAAAAAACATATAAACAGTGTGATTGCTTATAAAAAATCGATTGATTCATAAAATTAATATATTTGTGTCACATGAAATGGGACAAAAGAAGTAATATGTATTATTTAATTTGGAAACTACATAAAAGTATTGCAAATCTCAATAATTGACAGCATATTGACTCTTGAAATTCTAATTTGTGCTACATATATTGGGACAAGGAAAGCAATATATATTATTTAAAAATAACGCAAAAAGTACTATAAATTACAATAATTAACAATTTAAAATATTTAAAATTCATATTAAAATTTAATTGACTCTTTAAATTTTATCTATGTCACTTAAAGTGGAAAAAAATAATAGATATTATGCCCAGTAATAATTTTTATATTATAGAAGACTCTAGGAATGACTACCATTGTGCCAATAAGATCACTACTAATGTCCAATATATTTATAAAATATATAAGTGGGCCCCACCACCTTCCACTTAAATACTACATATTATATATTATTAATTACTATACTATAAATCACTACTAATATCCAATATATTTATCAAACTATATAAGTGGGCCCCACCACCTTCCACTTAAATACTACATATTATATATTAATTACTATACTATAAATGACTTAAATACTCCATATTATCTATTACAATAATTAACAATTATTTGACACTTTAAATTCTATCAATGCCATATAAATTAGGATAAAAAACCTAAGATATAATATTTAAATATATTTAAAAATAATATAAGTAATACTATACATTACAATAATTAACAGCTTAATTATTTAAAACTTATATAAAAAATTTAATTGACTCTCTAAATTCTATTGGTACCACATAAAATGGATTATATAATATACATATATTGAAATTGACGAAAAAGAAACAATAAATTACAATAATTAATAAAAAAAATAGTCCACATCAAAAAATCTATCAATTAACAACATATATTGTTTGAAATTGACGAAAAAGAAACTATAAATTACAATAATTAACAAAATAAATCTCTCGACTCCAACAAATCTATCAATTAATGCCACATAAATTGGGACATGACAAATAACATATATTATTAAAAAATTAGGTTCAAAATGTACTATAAAATACAATAATTAACAACTTAATATATTAAAGAAACATATAAAAAAGGGTTAATATTTGAAATTCTGCATCTGCCACATAAATTAGAACAAAGAGAGTAATAAATATTATTTTCAAAATTATGTTAAAAACAAGTACTACAAATCACAATAGCTAACAATTTAAAATATTTTTAAAATCATATAAAAATTTCAATAACTTCTCAAATTCCATAATATGACATAAATTTTAAAAAAAGTGTTATAATCATAATAAATAGTACAATATTTAAACTACTTTAAAAGCATTATAAATTGTAATAAATAATACAACAATTTAAATTACTTAAAATTTAAAGACTTAATTTTTTTTTTAAATGTATTAAAATTTTGGTTAATTGTCAAAACTTTACATTTGCCACATAAATTGGGACATGGACACTCACACATATTTTTTTAAAATAATTACATTAAAAGTATTCTATCAATTAACAACATATATTGTTTGAAATTGACGAAAAAGAAACTATAAATTACAATAATTAACAAAATAAATCTCTCAACTCCAACAAATCTATCAATTAATGCCACATAAATTGGGACATGGCAAATAACATATATTATTAAAAAATTAGGTTCAAAATGTACTATAAAATACAATAATTAACAACTTAATATATTAAAGAGACATATAAAAAATGGTTCATATTTGAAATTTTGCCTGTGCCACATAAATTAGAACAAACAGAGTAATAAATATTATTTTCAAAATTATGTAAAAAAAAAAAGTACTACAAACCACAATAGCTAACAATTTAAAATATTTTTAAAATCATATAAAAATTTCAATAACTTCTCAAATTCCATAATATAACACTTAAATACTACATATTATATATTAATTACTATACTATAAATGACTTAAATACTCCATATTATCTATTACAATAATTAACAATTATTTGACACTTTCAATTCTATCAATGCCATATAAATTAGGATAAAAAACATAACATATAATATTTAAATATATTTAAAAATAATATAAGTAATACTATACATTACAATAATTAACAGCTTAATTATTTAAAACTTATATACAAAATTTAATTGACTCTCTAAATTCTATTGGCACCACATAAAATGGATTATATGATAAACATATATTGTTTGAAATTGACGAAAAAGAAACAATAAATTACAATAATTAATAAAATAAATAGTCGACGAAATTGACGAAAAACAAATTATAAATTACAATAATTAACAAAATAAATCTCTCGACTCCAACAAATCTATCAATTAATGCCACATAAATTGGGACATGACAAATAACATATATTATTAAAAAATTAGGTTCAAAATGTACTATAAAATACAATAATTAACAACTTAATATATTAAAGAGACATATAAAAAAGGGTTAATATTTGAAATTCTGCATCTCCCACATAAATTAGAACAAATAGAGTAATAAATATTATTTTCAAAATTATGTTAAAAAAAAAGTACTACAAATCACAATAGCTAACAATTTAAAATATTTTTAAAATCATATAAAAATTTCAATAACTTCTCAATTTTCATAATATGACATAAATTTTAAAAAAAAAACTGTTATAAATTATAATAAATA